GTATGCCGTGTGCCACAATAACCTGCGTGTCCTTTCGCTCTTTATACTGCAGAGGTATTTGACAGTTTCAAAGGACGGTTCACAAAGGGCGCCTTTCCTTGAAATTACATTTCTTGGGATGCCTGCCTACCAGTTTATACGAAAGTATTTGATAGTTTTGCGTTTCCTATCATACGGTCTTGCGTTGAGGGCTCCTGTAGGTGTAATATTCGTTTTACCTCAAGAAGAACAGATCGTACGTTCAGGCCATTCCCTGCGCAAATAGTAAGGTTGTCTTGATGCACTGGTAGATCATTCATTTACCTCCGTGTTTCGCTTTCAGGAAATAATGTGTCGCCGGATGCATCAGTTGGACCAATAGGCATCTGCTGTAGGAAGCCCTGCAGTTTGTGTTAGATTCAGCTCCCCCTCCCCCCGACCAGACAGATAGCCGATAAGTTTCCTGTCAGCCACTCATCGCGTTTTTCTCCGTTGCTCTGCGAAATTTCGGCTGACGGTGCCTTCAGCGCAGAATGACAACCAAATGGACCTTCAAAGTAACGCACATAAACAAATTTCTGGAGGGGTTAGCCATTGCCTTCTGCTAAAAAGTCCGCAGCTTTGAATGGACCCGAAATACTCATTCCAACAGTTTGGCACTACGGTAATATAGCAGATAACGCGCAATTAAAAAAACTGTTCTGGCAAACCTAGCACGGGATCAATGATGGAAAGCAGTTACGCGGAGATAGGATCCAATTAAAGTCACCCCTCCACCAGACCATTGTGGTCTTGATAATGAGGCAAGATTAAAATAACTATCTCGACCAAGTGACGAATATTGACTCTACTTACGTGTCTTGATGGGCCTGTCAAGCATCTAACTAGATCATTTTCAGTCAACGAGGGCAACCTGGTGGATATGACACATTTTCTCAGCAACGGACATTGGCAGGATAGAAGAATAGGAATTCCCGTACTTTAAGAGCGTTGCGCTAATTCCCAGAGAGACAAGCGTTAGTGCTAAAATGCAGATTATAAGGAGGTTTTCGGAATACGGGTGAAGTTATGAGTAGGTTTGTGCCACAATGACGATTGCAATTCCTGGAATATTGCGTCATGTAACGTGTACTATCGGAGATGGGGGTTCATATTAACGTATTTAACCAAAAATTTTATGACAAGGTTTAGTGGTCTTGAGAGAAGGTCTTCTTGTGAACTTTCCCTTAAAGTAAATGTGATTGCTTTCGTCCATTACCCAAAAAGTGAACCTTGCTGCAAATCATTTGCATGCGAAAAGTTTTCAATTTCCATTATACACCACACTGAAACTGACTCTCTTCGGGAAACGTAGACTTGTATGTTGATTATGATGTGATTTCTTACTCTATCAAGCTGCTCCGTCAATCAAGCCTACGGAGGTCGTGTTGGCACCCGCGGGTGCCCCAGCAAGACTCACCTGTACCGTACTATCAGTCCCCCTGCCGCCGGCAAACGAAGCACACTGGTATCGCCGGGGTATTCGGGTCAACCAAGCTGCACAGTAAGTGACTCCTCTTCTTGTCAGCATCTCCATCTATATTTCATCTGAATGACTTCTAGCAAAATGTAAAACTGTCTTCTTGCATTGCTTAGTGCAAACTTGAATTTCAATTCTGGTTGGTTATCCTGATATAAAAAATAAGCTCAAAGTAGTTCGTGCATAATAAAGACGGCCTGAGGTTAGTAAGCTGCCCTCCGTAGCCGAGGCTTGAGGATAGCCTAAACCTTCGTGAATGATTCCTTGGACGCACGCCTTTTAATGCCAAAATTTCACAGGGTTCAGTAGAAACCCAGCTAAAATGTTTCAGTATAAATCAAGCCACAAGCAATCTCGTTTAGATTCGACTGTTGAAATATTCGTCAAAAGGAATCAAAAATGGGCCTGTGTTTCTCCTACCCTTATGAAAGGGTGACTATGAGATATGTTTATGTGGCAGGTCGAGGAAATATCTTCGGTTCAATTGCCGTAGCAGTTCAGGCGTATGAAGCATGAAAACAAAAATTGCCTATATCATTGGTTAATTTAAGCTTCGATCTATTTAAGCTGTAGTAAATGGTCCAGTTGTAAGAGCAGGGTAGAATATTGGATGAATTGGTGCTCCCAAACATCAAAGATATCCCAGGATGCAGAAATCGGTATGGGTGCATCCTCTTAGTTAATCGCATTCTTCCTGTACTTCTGGCGCACAGGCTATTGTACCTTGGTTTCGTTTCAATTAACAACACTTGTGAATGCGGTCGCACACTGCTTTATCATTGATCATTTATTTTAAATGCTTTTATTCGGCTAGATGAATGGTTTTATTGCCGGGGTCAACCACTTTGCAAACGGATAATTACAAGGTGCAGCACCAATGTGAAATGGAAGTTTACATCAGCAGACTTTCAGTATTGTGCTTCGAAGTAGGCGTGTGATCGACATCTGTATGCGTATTCTTTTGAAGCTGCAAGTTCATGCATTGTAGATGTTGTGATATCGCGTGTATACTCTCCTTATTGGTGTCTTCTGACTGTTAAAATAGGTTATATAAAACTGCACTCATGGGCGTTGCCAAAATTGACTGTGTAGGAGGAACCCAAAAAATTAATCTGCCCTTTTTTCCTTTAAATTTTCAAGCCGCACCTTCGGGAGCGAAGAATTTACGGGTGGCGTGGTCTACGTCCTGAAGTTCAGCCAAGTTTTGCCCACAGACTTTGGTTTCTACAACTGTACTGCTAGCAATGGCTTCGGAAGCGCCTCGCAGACTATCGAGCTCCGTCAAAAAGGTCAGCTTAACACTCAATGGCGCACTTACTGTGTATCGATGTTGTTACTCGAGACTGATTGAAAACAGTCTACTCTAGCGTTTGATCTGTTATTTTTTTATAGCAAAAAATCGGCATCGTGGTGGTGCCGAAGTCTTTACTCTTAAATACTAGCTGCTTATTTACATTCCTATAAACCCAAAAGACTGTTTAATGCGAGAATAAGAAGTGTGAATAAACTGCGCTGCTTCCTCATTTTTCATGCATAAAAATACAGCTTGCGCAGAAACTAATGAATCGTAAACTATGTTGTCAGGTAGAAAGAGTTTGCTTTCCTCAACTTTTATTTTTGAATAATATAACTACCAGTGGACACCTACAAAGCAGTAGGTCATTTGCAGTTAGGCGTATTTTTATTTACTTGCGTGAGTACTTGATTCGCACACTGAGGTTTATTGCGCAAAACATGTTTGGGAGACCAAAATGGTACTTAATGCATGCGCATTGCAGCTACGTACAATTTTTAAGTTATTATCTGCAAGTAGCTCAGCGTTTTATGTGCACAGATAGCACTTCTGAAGTTATTCGCCATGAACATTTTGAATGATATTTCAGCTAGGATTTTAAGGATCATACTAAATTGTGGCCTACAAAAGATTTCGTAAGTAATTTCCAGACCAAAGACGTCCGTTTTCAACGTACAAAGTCTAACCATACCATACTTTCCCATTAATTGGCCACTAGTTTAAGTTGAGATCAAATTTTAAAAGACATATTTCACTTTTTATTTAGAACTGTTAAGTACTGTGTACACTATAAATAGTCGTCCCCACCTACATGGACTCTATTTTTGCTCCCTTGCAGATAACGTCTGCAATATGCAATCACCAATTGCGTTCACTTAAACAACAAAAATCCGCAATTCATCTAAGAGAAGGTTCATAAACAGTATCCAAGTGGAACAATATGTCCTAAAAATAATAAAAGGTAGAATTAGCTGAACAAGAGAGGCGAGAGATGCCATCACTTTATTCAAGAAGACGGTTCTTGCTAAGCAGTCAGTGAAGGAGAAAAATTGACAAAACCCAACAATGAAATAAACCAGTCAGTCGAGCTAATAAAGCGTAATTTTGTTCTCAAAATGATCTTGATTTCTTCAGTATGTCGAGCCCTGTCGAGAGAATGCCCACCGAGTTCTCCCGTCTAAACCCATAATTTAAAAGGTATGGCTTTGTCCGCGTTTAAGTGACTACTTCCTACAATCATCAGGTTAAAACGATAATAACTGATGTTTTAAATACTTGGCTTGCTCTCTGCCAATAAGCTTATTCTCACCATTCCGTTTTATGCTATCTTCAAAATATTTCGTTAAATTCGAATCTTCAGATGAATTATCCGTTTCCCTCGTGGCCATCGTCGCAGTGGCCGTAATTCTGTTCGTCATCTTCGCCATCGCTTTCTTCTTGTATTGGCGAAAACGACGAGAAAGAAGGGCTCAAACCAAAAGTGAGTGAACTTGTCAAGCGACTTCCTCGTTTCCATTTCCACATGAAACACCCGTGCCAGACCGATCAATATTTCTTTATCTTCGATATACTTCCGGGGAATGTCAACAGTATCTCCACTTTATCGAATTTCAGTTTCTGTTAAAGATCATGAAAAAAATCGCAATAAATAATTTATTTCAGCATAGCAGTTTAAACAACATAAATGTCGACATTTTGTTCTTGCATGGAAATGCAGATGTGGTATTTATCAGAACCAGTTCAAACTTCAACGGTCAACATATTCAGTTGAGAAATCCGTCAGGATTTTGAATCTTACAACAAGTCGTGCATGGTCATATGGATAAATGGCTCACCTGAAAACGTTTGGTTCTGGGTGATCCTATCTGCAGGGATAATCATACAAAAAGCCTTATTTGGCATAAATGATTCCAAGATAGCATTGCATAATTTAATCTTAAACTGCGAATTGCGAAAAGGTCATGAAGTTATTTGAGTTGGGCAAACGGAAATATAATGTGCGCTATTGGTTTTGTAGCATACTTGCCCATGACCGCGCACTTCTACAACCCCGGAAAGATATCTTCATAGGTTTTAAATATCGACGCAATCATGAAGAAAATAAAGTCATATTGTATTTTTAAAAGTTCATTTTTTTAATCTTCATCTCGAGTTTGCAATTTCGTGTTCACAAAAACCAGCGTGCAAAGAATTAATATTCAGCAATAATTTGCTATGCTACTGAATGTTCATTTTGAACCAACTGAAGCCCATTGATGTCTCTTCCAAACGACTAAAGACGTCGTATTAGTCTAAACCTCCTAACAGATCTTACTCCTCCGAGTAACCCATAATGTTGATAGTCATAAACTCTGACCAAAATTAACAGTGTCTTAACTTATCCAAATGAGAAACAGTGTTGTATTTACATTGCTTTGTTCATAATTTGGCTCGATAATTAAATCCCCATGGACAGAGAATAAGGAAAACATTGAAAGTTTTGCTTTCTAACCAGTTTTATTCGAAAATAGCTTGATTTATTTAATATGAAATATTTATTTTGCGTCGTGTCTTCAGAACTAGTCCCATCTTATTTCCCTAGTCCTTAAGGAAGGTCTTGCAATTTCATCTCCTCCTTCAATAGTGTATAAGACATAGACATAGTATTCACAACTTTCGACTTCAGAAAACTAAAAGTTAGGACCTTCGCCTACTTAGGTGTAGGTTTTCAATGAGTTTAAGTGTGCTCGTTCTCATATCTCTTCCCGATTTTAATGAAGGTTTTGGAAAAAATAAGCTCAACTGAATTGAGGCGTAGTAATACGTTTGGGCCCCCTAGGTTTGCCGTAGCTAAGTTTATTTGGGTAGGAAATAATATGCAAAACGAAGGTGCTAGATACGAACATCTAAATTCGATATTTTTACAAATAGAGATTGCCTGGAAAGGGAAAAATTAATAATAAGTCAAATGTATTGTCTAAACATGACTGAAGACGTACAACAGGAAGCCTGGTGCACTGGTTGTACTCTAGTTCAACCTGTATGTGCTTGGCTATCTGCTTCAAACAATTAAAGTTAATTAATTTCATTTGATTTCAAAACCAATTTATTGGCTTGACCCAAGTTTATTATTGTATGTATCAAAATTGCAATCGCACCAAGCAATAAATCATTCTCTCCATAACTCAGGACGATAGATTTTTCTCAAACATCCAAACCCGGTTAGTTTGTGTGATTATTTGCTTGCTTAAAATCCTCTGATATCCAAATAGCCATAAAACCACAGGTACCCCAATACAAGCTAGACTGTTTAGTAACTCGAGTTTTATAAATTTCAGATGTTATGTTTGCGGATGGCATCTCTTCCTTCAATCGACATCCGAAAATGACTCCGAAGAACACTTACTATTTCGAAAAAATGCAACCAAGTGAGGGTCACATGCGTTCATCACCAGATCTACAAAAAGACGAGACATACTGTGTAAGCGGTTGCTTTTTGCATATTTTACTCTCTCATTTGAAGAAATTTGTTTATGATAATGAAGAAATGCATTTCATTGAATATTTTGCTAAGCTGTAGTGGACAAGGGTGGACTGGACAAAGATAAACACGTCTACTGTAGCCAATAATCGAATTGAAATAGAACGCGCCTACAGACAGAGAGTCATCGTCTTTTGGGCAGGGGTTTCCTTGGTAGCTCACGATTGTTTTTATTTATATTTACATGCCTACTCCCACGCTTCCCGTAAGACAGAAACTTGGGACTTTTTACATAAGATATCACTATCCCACCCTAACCCTAACACTGACCCTAATATTAACCCTAACAGAAATGCATTGAGTAGGCATGTAAATATAAATAAGAACATTCGTGCGCTACCAAGGAAACCCCTGCCGTCTTTTGTTATTCAGCCACTTGCAAAAGTTACTTTTTGACATTTTTCGAGTTCTTCGAAAGCCCAAGTCCAAGTCCAAGTGTCTTAATAACCGCCGCCTGTTATTTCTCATTTTTAAAAATAATTATGATGTTTTATGTTAAAATGTCTAGCACAAACTTTTATTCACTGATATAGCGCTAAACTATTTTTTCTTATGTATAACTAAAACACAGGACAGTACATCTGATCAAGCAAACATTACACACAATTATGTGCTTAAAAATTAAAGAGGCTTCTGTGCGACATTACAAATGAGACTTGGTAGAAGCCTTTTTAGATAGGAGCCTGGCGTAAACTACAAAACAAAACACAATGCATGTTCTAGCGTTTCTTACGCTGCCAACTATGATGCATTTCTTCTTTAGGTGGACATTGGCATTCGTAGAACGCAGTAATAATATTATAAAGTGATCGGTAGTCAATGCAGCAGATTATCTTGCAGTGTCCAGTCTTTTTTAGGAATTTTCCAATTTCAGAACATAATTTTTGCCCGTTTGACTAATACCTAAGTCAACTGCGCCTTTGACAAACTGTCCAAGCACTTTCGGCTTTTATGGCAAATGTTTTAGTTTAATATCTTCAATAGGTCTCGAGGTAAATGACGTTTCAGTTGATACTGAACCAGATGGCAGACATGTGTTACTCATTGCATGACAGTGAGGATGAACCCTGTGCACATCTTACATAAAATAATTTTTTAGGGCACAAAACGAGGCAAAGCTTATTCAAAGTCCTGTTCTGCATTGCAGACTTACTTTAAGGTGCACGTAGGCGATCTTGTGGAATTTAAAATCCGAGCGCATCACTGCTGTGGGTCAAAGCAGGTAATCTGCATTCAGGACTTAGATAGGTATTAAATATGGGCAGACCGCTATCTGCATGGAAGAACAGAGCGGAAAGCAGCCATTTTTAACAAACGTGTGCGTTCTTTCAAATGTCTAAATGAACAAATCTGTTTTTGTCTTACAGAAGAATAAATAGTAACAGTAATAGTATAGTAACCGAGGGCATCTCCTTAAGCGCTGCCGAAATCCGTGGAATTTCGAGCGAATTCCAGGGAGTCCGAAGATAACCTCGAAAAATTTTAAGACGAACGATGGTTTGATGCTGTTGTCAATTAGACGTACGCCAGCCAATTACTGGTTCTGCACCTGTAAAATAGTTTTAAAAAATCGATTCAGTGCGCAAATTTCTGTTCTGCCTAGCCGTCTGCGATTTACACTCTTATTT